ATGGAGTTAGTTAGTTAGTTAGTTAGTTAGTTAGTTAGTTAGTTAGTTAGTTAGTTAGTTAGTTAGTTAGTTAGTTAGTTAGTTAGTTAGTTGACATCCCGGTTAGACCCGGGGACGCAGCAGCTCGGTCAGGGAGAACATTCAACACGGTGTCAGGTTCTAAAAATAAACACCAGCCTTTAATCGTCACACAGAACAAAGAAAGGTTTGACTCCACTGCAAAAACAGATCTAAAAATAAGCAAAATTTTGCACTTATTATGAGCAGGATAATAACAGGATCTGCTTATTGAATCAATGTTTCTGTGCTTGAAAAAGATAATTATATATAATTGGAGCAAGAAGGTTCTGGGTTCGATTCCCGGGGTCTTTCTGCATGGAGTTTGCATGTTCTCCCTGAGGTTCTCTCCTGGTACTCCGGCTTCCTCCCACAGTCCAAAAACATGACTGTTAGGTTAATTGGCTTCTCTAAATTCTCCTTAGGTGTGAGTGTGTGTGTCTGTGTTTGCCCTGTGATGGAGTGGTGACCTGTTGCCCATTGACAGCTGGAGATAGGCACCAGCAACCCTTGCGACCCCAATTGGGACAAGCGTGTCAGATAATGGATGGATGCAATTAAGAAATAAAATACTAATTTTAAAAAATCCTTAATTTAAATAAGGTTCTTGGAGTACTTTTGCTGTTTCCCGAGTTTTTTTCTTTTCTTCAAATTATTATGATTTTTTTTTCATATTTTATTCAAATGTTACTTTTTCATTTTTTTTTAGATTTTTTCTAACACTTCATTTTCATATTACATTTTATAAACTGCATTCTTTGAAATAGTATAAGGGTGGGCTTTCCCTCTGGAATTTACCAGCGTTTTTATTGATCAAGAGTCAGTGTTTATGTTGGGCTTGAAGTGATGAAAATGTGATTTGTAAAAAGAAATGCAAAAAAAAAAGGAAAAAATAAAGTTTTTAAAATATGTTATAAAAAATAAAAAAAGAAAATGTAAGAAAATAGAAAAGTTCTACTCAAATTTTATTTTGATTAAGACTTTTTTTACAGTTTATTGTCTGGATTGCTTTTTTATTTTAATATGCAAATGTGTTCTTTGCAACAATAATGGAGCACAGTTGACTCTATAACTGATGATATAGTGATGATAATTTAATTTTTAAAAGAATTAAAAAAAAGAAATGGCAAAAAAATGTATTTAAAAAATAAAAGAATATTTAAGAAAACAGCAAAGAATGTTATTTGGATTAAGGCTTTTTCTTTTTTTTCACAGTTTACTGTTAGGGTTGAAAGAGTGACATGCAGGAGTGTGCAGCGCCCTGGTGGTGGCAGCATCATGCTGTGGGGAAACTTTGGAAAACAACCCAAATAAAATATAATCAAGTTAACAGAAGGTGAAACACTTGCAGGTTTTATAAACACTTTACTAAAGGTGTTTAATGACCAGATGTTTGGAAGGATGATGCGTTTTTGTTAAAACGGAATCAAATGGAGGGGGGTTGTTTTTCACATTTCCGGTAGGTCGGCTGACCTGCTGTGTGTGTGTGTGTGTGTGTGTGTGTGTTTAGAAACAGGAACCCCTCCTGGTGAGCAGGAAGAGGATGACGTCAGTTGTCAGTGGCTCTGAGTGTGTGTGCATTTTTTTTTTCTTTTTTTAAAGGTGGGGGGGCGAGTAGTTGTTTGATTTACGCGTGCATGTAGGCCGTGCGCGTGTACGTGTGTGTGTGTGTAGAGGGAGAGTGGTTTTAGGGGCGTGGACATAGGAAATAGAGTGCATGTGCGCGTGGGGTGTGTGAGTGTATGTGTATGTTTACACAGACGGGAATACTGCTCCAGAGGAAGTGCGCTCGTTCTCCGTCTGCGCGTCCCGACTTCCTGCTCTGAGGCAGGAGAGAGAAAAGCTGCGGATCCGCTTTCAGACAGCGGGGCAGCAGCAGCATGGAGCCCCAACAGAACACACGCGCTCTCTTTTAGGAACCAAAGTCCATCGAAACGCGCAGAGAGAGGAGCAGCAGCCGTTCACAGCTGGGTAGGTGTCAACTTTCCTTCCGTCTCCAACTTTCTAAAAGTTACCTTAAAGGCGCGACAGAAAAAAGTTAAAATTAAACCAAACTTGTGATGCGCTCTGAATGTTAACTCAGAAAGAGGAAACCCACAGTGCTGAAAACCCAAAAAGTGCAAATAAGCCTTGCGTAAAATGTGAAACATGTGCGTAAAAGGAATACAAATCTGTGCGTAAAAGGTCCCCAAAAAACAGCGCTTTTTTGTTTTTGACACTAAGAAATTTAAAGGGGAATCTAGAATGAGGTCAGTGTGACAGTTTTTGAAGGAAGGGAAGTAAAAAAAAATCCGCCGTGGCTCCTTTAAAACCTGCTTGTAGACTTTCTGGTTTGTCTGGACCCCGCAGACTAATTGCTGTGCGCTTCCGGATAGAAGCTGGCAGCAGACAACATCTTGAAAATGAGTCACTGACTGTCGCAAAACAAAGAGACGTTTGAGTTCCAGCAAGAACCCCCACTCTCTCTCCCTCTTCACATATAGACATATTTCAAAAAAAAAAAAAATAGACCACAGGAAATGGAAGGAGAGTCATGGTTTGGGTTGTTTCTGCTGGGCTGAAGAGAAGCAGTGATGTTTCCATGGAGAAGGAGAAGCTGCATGAACGGTTGCCAGCTGTTACTATTAGAGAATGGAAACAACCAGCTTTTATTCTGAAATCCAGTCTTTAAACTTACAGAAACGGAAACCAGTGTCTGAATTGTATCAAAAATACAGTTAAATCTGAAAAGTGTGGCAGACACTTCTACCAGCCCCATTTACTCTGATACTCCCAAATCAAATGCAGTGCGAGCAGTAGGCTCTGGAAGTCTCCCAATGAGTGAAAAGAGGTAAGCTTTGTAGAAAAGGTGAGAAATCATCTCCATCATGAAACACGGTGACGGTAGCATCATGCTGTTTGGATATTATTTTATAGATTGATGAAGCTATTTAAAGGGTTATTTTGATAAAAAGTCTGAAAGAGGATGAAAAAAAACAGAAGAAAGGGTGGAGGTTAACCTTCCATCATGAAACTGGGTCCTAAAATCCATCAAAAGCTGCAATAGAACGATAAGATAAGAAAGATAAGATTAAATCATAGCCATGTGGTAAAATTGCAAAGTCCAGAATCCAAAGCCTTTCTTTTCAACATGCGTTTTACCAATCATTATATATATATATATATATATATATATATATATATATATTCTTTACCAAAATAAAAAAAGAATGTAAAAAAAATATTTAATCAGTAAAAAAAAGAAAGAAAAACAAAATATTTATAAAAATTAATACAACAAAAGAAAAACAAAATCTGAGAAAACAGTAAATTTTCTCATATTTTTATCTTTTCTTGATTTAAATGTTTTTCATAGTTTGATTTCTGGTTAAATTCACAAAAATGAACTTTTTGCTTGCAAAAATAATGGAACAAATTTGACTCCATACTAAGGTCCTTATGGAATGATTATCTCTCTGGACTCGAGGCTAATGTTTGAACAGAGTTTATAATATGATGAACATGATCTTGTTCAGGTAAAAAATGACTGACTTGTACATATAAGTTAGAGTAATGTCCCAATAACAACAGAAATCCTTTTGTGTGTTTGGTTTGCATCTGTTGGGAGCTAACAAGAACTGATCTATAAAAAAAAAAATTACAATTGCTACACATGTTACCGGTGCTTCCCGCTGACAGGAAGTCCTGGACAGCCTCTCACCGGGGAATGACGCCCTCTGAAGCTGAATGACAGGAAGTCCTCCTTTAGACAGTCGGACATCTCCACGGTTCCTGCATCACCTCACACACACCCAACACACAACAGCCAATATTCATGCAGGAAATAGGAAGCCAGAACTCGGTCAGTTGTGTTTGTGATGATGGGACATTGTTTGCACTTTCCCCTCTTTTTTTTTTGTTTTTTTTTTCCTGCTGGTTGTTATTATGAAGCCATGCAGGTGGAGGAAGAGTTTTCAGAAAGCGCACAGACAGGCGGCGGTTTCCAGGTAAACACGTCGGTTTGGACCACGCTTGTCTTGGCAGAAGGGTCACTAACCACATCCTGTTTTATCACCATGGAAACTTTAGAAAGCCATGTGACGTGTGGCCTTTTCTCACTGTCTCTAACGCTGAGTATGAAACTAATGAAGGCGGAAAAAACGATCAAACACTGAGAAACAAAGGATATTACAACTGGTTTCTCCTTTATTGTTTTATTAGTGCTTCGTAAAAGTTCTAACAACTTTTAAACTTAAAGTTTTGTCACCTTTTAATCACAAACTTGTATATTATTGGGATTTTATCCTCTAAAAATGAAAAGAGGCAGCATTCCTATCCAGCCCCCCATGGTGGTGGCAGCATCATGATGCGGGACTGCTTTGTCCAATCATGGAACAGCTGTAAATGAAATGTTTGTGGTTGTAACTAAAAGAGGTTATGGATCACTCATAGCTTTGTTAACAGTTACAGTCAAGCCACGGTCAATTCGGAGAAAATGATCAACCCAACTGTTTACAACCTGTGCAAGGAAGTAGAAAACCACATGGGGCCATATCTGCATATAGGGACATGTGGCAAACATGAGCTGTTCTGCAATCGAACACAGAGGACATGTATGAACGGCTTCACTCTTACAGTAAATTTGACTCATTTCGTCTGCACCTACTGTCATTACTGTTACCAGATTTCAGGCTCTGGGTGTTGCCATTGTTCCTGCATCCCTTCTGGAATAAACAAATACAAAATAATCCAAGATTTGGTAATCCAGTTGATTAGAGAGACTAAAGCAAACATCCCCAAAGTCGGTCCTCGATGGTTGCTGTTCTGCAGGTTTTAGAGGTCTCCTTGCTTTTAATTGAAAGCTGATTAACTGGCTTTTGCTCCACTGCAATCATCATAATCAGCTGTGCTAAAGCAGGGAAACCTCTAAAAGCTGCAGGACAGCGGCCCTCGAGGACCGACTTTCGGGATGCCTGCTCTAAAGCCTCTGTAACTTTTCCTTCTTGTTCTGGTTAGCCTACTGTTGGCTGTGTTGCAGTGTAGGCAGCCATTTTAATTGCTCGGAGTACCTAATGGCAGGTCTTTCCTCATTCTACAATGCAGATTATCGGTGCTTGTGCCATCATGGAGAGTTCCATCACCCTCTGGCAGTTCCTACTCCAGCTGCTGCTCGACCAGAGCCACAAGCATCTCATCTGCTGGACGTCCAACGACGGAGAGTTCAAACTGCTAAAGTCCGAAGAGGTGGCCAAACTTTGGGGGCTGCGCAAGAACAAGACCAACATGAACTACGACAAGCTGAGTAGAGCTCTGCGCTACTACTACGATAAAGTACGCACATTGTTGATGTTGTTGACGAAGCACAAATCAGAACGTCAAAGAGGACGTTAGTGACCTCAAGTCTCCTTTTTTTCCACTTTGCAGAACATCATCAAGAAGGTGATTGGCCAAAAGTTTGTCTACAAGTTTGTTTCTTTCCCTGAGATTCTGAAGATGGATCCTGCAGTGGTGGAGTCAGGCCGCGGTGGCGAGGAGGTCGGTGGGGCCGCGTCAGAGCCTGAAGTCGAAGAGGAGGACCGGGGCGAAGGAAAGCAGTATCTCTACTCCAACTTCTACACTTCTTTTAGCACCAGCTCCCCTCAACACGCTTTAGAGCATCACCGGCCAATCAAGAAGGAGCCTAGATGCGAAGAAAGCTCGTCCGTCATCCGGTTCGTGACCAACAGCGGCATCTCGTCCCTTCCGCCAACACCGCCGCCATCCACAACGGACAGCCCCAAGCCCTCCATGTTGTCTCCTCGAATGGCTGGCTCTTCATCTCCGTCCCAGAGCCCCACCCACATACGGGTGAGAGGGCAGAGCCTCAGCACAGATACTGATGATGGTGAATGTAACGCTCAACCTTTAAACCTATCGTCTGGTCAGAGGGAAAGAGAGAAATTACGGAGCACGCCAACACCAGAGAGGAGGGGGTTGGCCAACAGTAACCCTTTAAAAGGCAGAAAACCCAAAGGCTTGGAAATCTCTGCCCCCCCTCTTCTCCTGACAGGAAGTGACCTCGTCTCCATTGCCCTGAACAGCCCGGCGCTGCCCTCTGGGTCTCTTACGCCCGCCTTTCTGACCGCACAGGTATGAATCAACATTTTACACGAATAAACACCGCCGCACCTCCGCAAACTACCAGACCAAGCCAGTAATAGGTAACAGGCAGAGGAGGGGAAGGAGACATTTTTGATCCAGAAAGTCAGACAGGGAGGGGATGGAGAGAGGTGAGCGGAAAGAAAGGAGGGGGGGAGGGAGGTTTCTAAGTGAACCCATATGTTCCTGACGCTCCCGATTCTCTGGCAGCGGCTCGCTGACCAAAACAGGACAGTCTGACTACATTCAGGAACTCAGCTGACGTTCTTATCCAGAATGAATAATCATACACTGCTCTAGGAAACTAGAGGAAGTGGAGGTTGAACTGATTACTCAATAAGTCTATTTGAATCTCTACTCCTATGTCCTTCTACTTTTTTAGAAAATGCTCCTCATTTATTTTGAAACCAAACCCAAACGAAGGACCTTTTAATGCTCTGGAAACCAGCTCAGAGTTGGTTTCAGTTTTTCATGCTGTGTTCAAGCAGTTGGCCCATTGTTCTGAGGTTGATGTGATAACGCAACAAAACCATAAGAGAAAAAAAAAAATGTAAATATAGATCAAGAAAAATGATGACAAATGACATTAGGAGAAATGTTCTGACTAATCAGTGAGTAATAACTGACGAAATGGGTCAACATCACCCTGCATAGTATGTTGGGGAACTTAGAGCCATTTAGGAAGTGCAAGAACATTTCTACACCAACCAGGAAGACTTGGGCTTAAACCAGTCTGGATCTCTCTTCTTATGATCAATTTTAGTCTTCTAGAAATCTAAAATCTAGTTGGATGAAAGGGAAGCAGGTTTCAGAGGAGTAATTGTTGACACTATAGCCTACATATTAAACAAGGTTGATCTTAATTATTGAATTGACCAATCGTTTATTCAATGGATTATCTTACTTTGTCTTGTATTTCCTTATTTCCAGACTGCATCCGGTCTGTTGCTAACACCCAGTCCTTTGTTGTCCAATATCCATTTCTGGTCCGGTCTAAGCCCGGTGGGTCCTCTGAGCCCAGCCCAACTGCAGAGCCATGCTCAGCTCTTCCAGGTAATCTTCCTTAATTCTGTTGTAAACAATCCACTTCAATAGTTGCTCCCTTTCCCGTTCAGCTGATTTAGAAATACCCTGATCACGTGACTCAGCCCTTTTGTATTACATTATAGCAAATCAAGTGTACTTGAAACCTTGGCAACAGACATTTAGCTACATTCTGTTGTCATAACAACCAAACCTTCAGAGGGTATAGCTGCTTATTTTCCTTGAGAAACACAGGCCTCTAATTTTTCAAACGTCCATTTTGGTCCCCTGCACGTTTTACTGTCGAAAGACAATTTTATGCTACAGTACAGAGAGATTCGTTGAGCACTAGGACCAAGCGGAAAACCACAGCTCAAGCCCGCTTGTCACTACTTGATCCGTCCCTGAAGCACGATCCATTCTGCGGACGCGCCATCAGCTCATTTGCGCATTTGAATCCAGATAAGCATCGATTTTATTTTGTTAAAAAGATCTAAATGATGTTTTCTTTCCCCAAAAATAGTAAATGTACTAAAATATAATCTGTCGAAGGTAAATGTATATCCTGAGAAAACAAATGCCTTAAAATCCTTTCTTTTATCACTTGTCTCTGCCCGATCGGCACCGGAAATGGGATCCTACGCCACTTCCGGTGGCTAACTTTTTCAGCTTTGGATTTGAACATAAATCTAGTCTTTTTGAGTTTTATGTTTTCGTTTACCATGTTTATCTAAAATGCAGATAAACATGGTTTAATCATACTTTGCCGGACTGCTCTGAGGATGTCCAATGATGACGTCAGAGAAGCAATTTAACGAAGAAAATGTAAAAAGCATTAAAATTGTCTAACAAAATTCGTAAAACATTTTTTAAAGATGTGTATTAGCAAATAAGTATTGCATTATTTATGAACACCCGAATGCATATCTGTTCGCGCATCCGGGTCGGATCGGGTAGTGACACCGCTTCCCTGAGTTTAAACAGATCACAAGCTCCTGATTGGCTCAACGTCTTTTCTTGTGTGATTGGCTCTCAAAGCCGTCACTCCTGAGAGGCACACTTTACAAACATCTGATGCGCCACTGAAAAAGTACTTTTGAAATCAAAATTTCGTCCACCTCTTAGAAGGTGCCGCTGTAGGTACCAGATCTGCTCGGGGCCCATTTTTTAAGAATTAAATCTCTTTTGGAGTCTCAACATATTATTACCTATATTTACTATTATTTTACCTTTCATTGGTGATCTAAAGCAGCCGAAAGTAGAAAACAATCATTTTAAGACTTGAGAGAAAGTACTGCGTCCTAAGATTGAGCTCTGCCATTTAACAGGTTATGAAAAAAAATATATATAGCTTATTTTTATTCTTTTTTTTTAAGATCTGAGGACAGGAAGGACAAATGGAACATCTCAAAAATGGTTTTCGTTGAGATTTTAGACAAATCAGTTATTCTACTTGTAGAAAACTAACTGTTGTTGTTGAAAAAAAGTTAAAAGAAGTGTATGTTAAATGTTAAATGAAATGCAGAACTCATACATAGAAATCTGATTGTAATAAATTGCTGAAATCTTTGTTTGCTATTCATTTCTCCCTGAAGTTTCCTACACTGCTGAATGGTTCACTTCCCCTCCCTCCTTCCAATGTGGATGCTCCCTCTCCTCTGCTGCTCTCCAGCTCCCATAAGTCCTGATGCCAGCAGGAGCTCTGTAAGCACTGTTCCCTGAACATCTAAAGGGGGCTGGATCATCACTAATGATTGGATGGAGCCCAACCCTAACCTGGCTGAAAATACATCTGAGACTTAACCATAATTCCAGAAGAAAATGGGGCTCCACTTCTGAGGATTTTTTGTGCGGGTCACCGTCGCAGATGTGGGATTTGACACTCCCACGGCTCTCATTTTATAACTAGTTAAAGCAAAGTTTTGTAAATCTCCTTCAAAAAACGCATTTTCTTTTGCATCATCAACTCTAGCTGTCATGACTAATCCTAGCATCAGTTCCTCTGACTCAGACCTTAGCGTTAAGAAATTCTGGAAGATTTGAGAACTAAAACTATTACAATAGTAGAAAAACCTTGGAAACTGTTCTTGACGCACCAATACTGGATACAGTGGGATTGGCTTTGCCCACATCTACATAAACATATTTGGGATTATACCTTCTTATACATTTCTAGAAAATGTTTAAATGATGAAAAATTGACAAACTTGCCTTGTTTTTATTACTTTAAAAGATTACTAGCACAAAAAAAGGACAATATGGATTGAAGTGCTAGTCTGTGTAGCTTTTCAGTAAGCTAACGTTTTCCCGCCTTTATTAATCTAGATACAAAGCTAGTTACCTTCTTATGCTCTTTTGTCCAGTTAGACAATTTTTTTTATATAGGTAATTCTTTTTAAAGATAAAAAACCCCTAAACAGTTTTATAAAAATGTAATAAAAAAAAAGAAAAAGGTATCATGCAGTAGCCTAATTATCAAGTATTAACTGTATTTTTTCCCCCCTCGCTTTTAACCGCAATTTTTTTTTTCCATGTACAAAGTTTCTCTTTTCTGAATACTGAAGGCCACAGGATTAAATCTGATAAAACTGGAGAAAATTAACAGACTAGGCCGCATGAGATGCGAACGTAATCGACTCCTAGCATAACATGCTAGTAAGAGTTAAAATGCAGTGCAGTTCTTTCTGCACAATTTCTATACTTTTTTTTTATTTTTACATTTGCACTGTACTGTACTTTTGAGCTGTACCTTATATTTTGTAAAATTTCTGGAAATGTGTTTTAAGCATAATACATTTTTTTGTCAAAATTGCTCAAATAGCTTGTTATGTAGCAGTAAAATTGCTCTTGGTTATTTTTATAGGAAAAAAAAAACAGCAGATCGTAAGTTTTCTTTTTTAAATGGTTTTGTTTTTAAATAAATGACAAAAAAACTCTTTGTATTTTGTTTTTTTTTATGAAAAATTGTTTTCACTTTGCCCAATATCTCCATTATTATACAGAAAATGACGACTACACAGGTAGCTTATGAAACAAATCTTAAATTTTACTTCTGACGGTTATGAGAAATAAATAGTTCCAGTAAAAAGAGTCACACACCAACTGTTCACCGGCAGCTCAGTGTTTCAGAGTTTGAGTTGACAACACAGCAGGCCTTCCATGCATCAGGCGTACACAAACCCACACGCTCAGACAAACGCATACAAATAAGTCATTCATCCATCTGAAAAAGTACAGTTTTACAACGATAAATATTAAGTTGCTTTAGAAATCTCCTTCCGTTACTGCTGTTCATGTACAAAAAGTCTTATTAGCATAAACACAGTTGGCAGTATACACTGAAATGATCCTCAATTTCGATAAAGTGGAATATACAGAAAAACAAACTGAAATAGGTAAAAATTGAAATATACAGGTTTCCAATTTTTGACTTGAAAAACAACAGGCCAACATAATACAGGACATATACCATTAATATAATGACTTCCTGTTTACAGTATGTCACACATGTACTCGACTGCATAAGAACAATTGAAGGTCTCAAATTAAGAGCGCATTTTAAAAATAACAGATCAAAAAGATTTGTCATTTTTACAGGATCATTGCACCATTACCTGCGATCTGTGTTTGGTGTTAATATTATTACATTAATCATTTCAGATGCAAGTTTATCAAGCTTTCCCAGTGCTTCTAGCACTCCTCTAGCATGTGCTACCTAATCTGAAACATAAAACACTAGTGTTGCGTAAATCTTTCTAGTCACAAAATACAGTTTTCATTTCTGCCGTTGAGCTAAATGGCAACAAGAAAACTTCCCTCTGATTCCTAGACAACTTTTAACAAAGTTTGATGTTTAATGCACTCCTAGTTTTTCAAGCCACCTTTTTTTATACACTTTAAAAATTTCACATTTTCACTGAAGATGTTTAGTTTTGCACTAAAATTGCTTCATGTTTAAATTCTGCCAGCTTTTAATGTACTATTTTCTTTACAACATATAACCTTTTTTGGCTATACGTTACGCTAAATAACTATGCTAATCTAAAGCTTAAATGCTAATTATCCTCAATACTATATTCATGAGTAAACAAACAGTCTTTTTCAACTTAAATTACTTCTATTAAGGTGTATGTTTAGTTTTAGAGCACAGCTAATGCCCATATCTAAAGTTAGCTTAATCTGCAAAGTTAGCCTAGCGGGTAAACAAACTCCACCACACAGATAACACTGCAAGTTACAATTTCACAAAGGAGATATTAAACGATGGATTAGTTTTACAAGCAGAAAAGTATTAGCATTAGCATTGCTAGGTCTTGCAAAGTGTTCTGTGTAGCTGTAGATATTTAGCTACGGTCAACGTGAAAACAATGATGTCATGATTCAGGAATGCAGTGAACATCAGCTGTCATTTCAGAACTATTGAGGGAAATTTCCTTTTTGCCAAAGTAAACGTATTTAAAAAAACAAAACTAAAAAAGTTTTCAACAGGTTGAATTATATTTAGCATCACGGTCAGTTGCAAACAACAAATTGGCAGTAGAATCTGGGGAGAATCTTAGGGCCTCCACCTTTGTGCCGTATTTATAAGGTATGGGAACGTATTTTAATACTTTTGGGTAAACTCAGCCATGTTGTGGCCAACGTCCCTGATAACAAAAAAAAAAATCTAAAAACTGGAGTGCAATGTAGAATTACAAAATGCATACTGAAACAAAGCCTGGCAGTTTAAGGGTTTGCAGGTCTGTCTGAACTTTAATCTTCTGGGTTCTGGTATTTCTCCTCAACAATACTGTGCAGTAGTGCTTCCAATAAGGCATGGGCTGGTACTCTGGTAAACGCGCTCATTTTCTTCCTCTGAAATGGTAAAACGACAATTGCTGGAATGACCGACCAGTTTTCCCTGGTCACTTGGGTTAGTCTCAAACGGACTCTCTAACAAACATAAAATATGTCTGGAAACGTTTCCAGTAACAAAAAAAAAAAAAAAAACAGGGAATCATGTGGAAACGAAAAGGACAATAAAACTTCGCTTTTATAAAGAGAGTAAATTATGTTAAATAGGCCACCAATGAAAAAAGGTTACCTAATTAACAAGTTTAATACTAATCTAACTGCTTAGGCCAGAGGCTGTGCATGAAAATCAAAATATGTTCCACAAAATGATAACATAACGCAATAATCCGTTTAATGCTTTAACTGTAGTTTCTGTCTTATATAACAGGGATAAACTGTTTGATCTTTTAAATCAGGTTAACAATCAGCCAGAATCGTACCAGCCCATTCCTCATTTCCCCCTCGGATTTGGTTCTGTTGGTTTAACAGAGTGATGGAAATGAGCAGAAACCCAACAGCTAATCCTTTTAGCTTTGTTCAGCTCTCATTTTGAATCCCCCGCCATCAGAAAAGCAAAACTCATCTGAAATGTAATCGGAGAACAAAACCCCCGACCAGCACCATCACGGTGCTTCAACCTTTTGAAAACGTAGAAATCTTGTATAGTTCGGTCACGGAAGCTCGAAGGAAATCAAAAACAAAACAAAATCTCCAAATATACATATATACACATAAATATATATGTATAGATTTACACAATGCATAAAAGGTCTGAAGGAACTGCAGCTTTTTTTTCGCTCTGTAAGCACAACAATGAAAACAACAACTTCATCACAGCGTCAACGTCAACATCCGTTAATTTTCAAAAAAAAAGAAAAATACCGAAGAATTATAGTGAGAAAAAAGCAAACAAACAACTGAACAGTAACCTAACAGACTGCTAAACTGTGCAGGTCGTCTTTAGTTCACATCATGTGCACCGACACACACACATGTACACACACACACACACACCTCAATGTCACATATAGCAGACAGTAGTAGTTTAGCAGCAAAAATAAGTTAACCTTACACCCCAATAAATAAACAGTCTCCAAGCGTTTTTAATCATTCAGAGGGTGTGTGTGTGTGTGTGTGTGTGTACGCGTGTGTGTGCGGGTGAGGAGAGGAGCTCCAGGGGGAGGTGGGCTCATGCTAGGAGTTGCTGGTGTGTGTGTGTGTGTGTGTACGCGTGTGTGTGCGGGTGAGGAGAGGAGCTCCAGGGGGAGGTGGGCTCATGCTAGGAGTTGCTGGGAGGTGCAGACGAAGCCGGCCGGTTGACCGTCCTCTTCAGGAAATATTAGAAAAGCATGCTTTGCCTTCTGTTGATGTTGCTGTTCCCTGGAAGAACAGAGAGAAGTGTAAGAATACAATACCCACAATGCATCTGGGCAGCAGCAAAAGTACAAGAATTTATTTATTTTTTCCTGTATAAATGCATTACACATGAAGTAAAATAATTTGATGTAGTGAATTTTGTTCTATTGATACACTGTACGATTTTTTGCCCTTTTTGGGCCGATTCTGCAGTCGTACGAGAATTTTTCGATTGGGCCGAATTTCTGCCTGATCGTGAGTCGTGTAGCGCACAGGACCACCACGGCCACCTCCCAATCAGGAATTGTAAGTTTAGGTGAATATCAAACATGTTCAGAAGCATAGTGGGGGTGCGATTGAAATGGAGTTCTTCCTGTAAAATTGACATGGTTTTTAGACGTACGAGCAGATAGATCGCATCAGAGCGTCGGGCAGCACAGTTTGAGAACAAACATCGTGAGCTGTCAACTTTTAAACCCTGCAGGTTCGTCGTACAGTGTGAGCTGTAGCTGAGTTCAACGATTTAAAAAAAATCGTACAGTGTACGCCTGGCTTTATTCTTGCATAAAACAGGTTTTGTAAATGGAAATTACAAAAAGATAATTCAGAGATGAAACTTGTGTAAAAAAAAATGTGTATGAAAAAGGATCAGAGTTACTTTGCTGCTTCCTTCAATTTTAATTTTGTACAACTCGTTTTATACTTTTAATTCTTGACCAAGCACATTTTTATTGGTCTGCTATACATTGCTAACAGTCAGCAGACCAATAGAAAAGCTTTTTGGCTCCACATTCCAGAGGAAAGCCCGCCTCCAGAAGTGGCCAGATCTATTAAAAAAATCATTAAAAAAAAATAATAAAATACAATAGAAAAAAACAAACCTAGTAAAACAGCCCAACAATCAAAACCTAACCTTTTTAACTAAAACAGTTTTCAAAGTTTCCTTTCTGGATTGCATTTCTTTTATTTCAATTTACAAAAGGTTTTCTTGATACCTCCTGATATTTAGCTGGTCAACGTAAACAAAAAAAAAATGATGTCAGGAACGTAATGTACATCAGCTGTCAATTCAGAGCAATTAAGGGACATTTCCTTTTTTTCTACAGCAAACCAAAAACAAGTCAGCAGCTTTAACCCAGGCAGTCCAGATTTAAATAATGTGTGGATCGACCCGACTAAACATTATACCCTCATTCAATGAGATCACGGCTCAGAAAGAAAAAGCTTTAGAAGGAACAGTTCTTCATAAAATGAAAGAAGACCCTTTTGATCAGTCAAAGGCTCATCCTCCATACAGCCATCGACGTCAACAACTGGCTGAGAAACCATGTCAGTTAGGACCACATTTAACTTCTCTTTGGGTAAAATCATTTTAATAAAATGGGTCATAATTCATAAGGAACATAATCCCCGATATGTGCCGATTTTCATTTCTCTTCCTTGTCCCATTTTGGGAAATGTAGGCATAAGAAGGGACTGATAATGAACGTATGAACAGAGGGATTACCACCCACCTGACTCTGGGTAGGAGGAGCTCCTGTAGCCTGGGTCTCTCTGAAGCTGCACCTCTTTTAATGTGAAAATTGACACACCTGAATCACGACAGAGAGAGAAAGAGCTTCAGCAACAAAATGCAACAGGAGGCAGGAAATCAAAGAATAAAAAGACGGAGGAAGGTCTGAGGAGAGCAGACAGCAGCTCACTTTCTTGCAGGGTGTGGACTCTCATCCCCAGCTGCCTGAAGTAGGAATGTTTCATAGCCTCGTCAGCTGAAATCCTCGCCTTGGACTCGTACTGCAGAGAAATGCAAATAAACAGAATCAGCTGCAGATGATCAGGATTCAATCATGAAGTGCCTTCGGGCTGGAGAGATAGAAAAACTGCGCCCCCTGCTGTTTGAACCAGGAACTGATGGATTTCAGCACCAAAATGATTCCATGAACAAGGCAGATTACTTGATGAACATGTGTGTATAACCATTGTCGTCATGGTTACTGATGTAAGACACACCTGGATTAATCGGTTCATCAAGTTGTGCATAAGGCCAATTTGGTCATTGTTTATAACCTCTAAGGTTTATTTAAACAGATAATCATATTTTGTTCCTTAAATTTAGTTAGCAGGAAGGTTAGAACAGAAGTTAATATTAAATTTAATATTATTCCAATTAATTTAAATCACTGAAATCTTTCTTTAGCTTTACTAAGATCCCACTGTGCTGAAAACAGAGGGACTTTAACTTTACATGCAGCTATTGTCAACTGTAAAAGTATGGAGTGAATTTCTGTTGCAAGCAAATGTTTTTGTAGGTGGAAATTTGAAAAAACACACGTTAAAAAATTTTTAAAATGTAATGCAGTAATTACAATTTCAGTTTCATGGAACATTTTTGTTTTCTTAGATTTATGTTTTTTCATTTTAAATCTGTTTTATTTAAAAACGAAAAAGAAATTCAAAAATATAAAATCTGCAAACAGTTTTTAAACTTCAATTTGAAAAAAAATTGAATATGTATATATACAATATGTAAATAAAGAAAGAGAAAAATTACATGAAAGAAAAAATACCTTTGGGAAAAAAAGAGAATAAAAAATAAAGTTGTAAAAAAAACAAAAAAAAAACTGTTGAAATAAAATCAGAGAAAATAGCAGTTACTTTCAGGACATTGTTTTGATTTGGATTGCATTTTTAAATTTCACTCCATACAAATCAGCATGACTATTTCTAACCAGTGACATGATCATTGTGTAAATTCAACCATCTTAAGTCTGATGTTTCTTTATCTAGAGGCGGAACGAGGATTATGTGTAAATATTCGATGCTTAGTGTAAGGTACAGAGGAGGAGCTGTGGTGCTGAGGGCTTCTTTCTCCATCAAATCTCAATAAAGATCCTTTTGACTGTTGCTAGCAGAACTTTATCACTATTACTGAGTGTTAAAGTTATTTTAAGAAAAGCAAAACATTTTTTTACAATGAACAAAAAAAAAGACTATAATATAATTTTAAATGTTGTGATGAAGGATTATTGAGCAGTTTCTAAGCTTCTTCTGTGTGGCTCTGAGGTGCCAAACTTTATATGAATCTGATTAGGGTTTGAAGACTTACTCTGAGGAAAGCCAGCAGCAGCTCGATGCCTTCACTGTCCAGCCTAAAGAAAATCACAAGAAGAAAGAGTTCACCATGTGCCAGCAGGATAGGCTGATGGGGATGTGGAGGACTCATGGGAGGAAGGAAGCTCTAATGTTGGGCAGGATTTCCTGCCTGTGGCACCGCAGATGCACACTCAGAAAAATACGCTACGTTACATTCAAAGCTGAGGGATATGAGGAAAAGGTGTCTGTACCTGGGCGCATGGTTGATCAGCGGCTGCGGTTTGTATTTGGGGAAGTTGTACGATTTAAACTCTTCTATGGAGGAGATTCCCGGCCAGTTCTCCTCTGTGGGCGTACCTGAAAATACAAGGACAGATCAGATCGGACACGGCAAGGCGCCACAATCAGACGGAGAACAGCTGGTGGTCAAGAGGGAGATCCTCACCCAGCATCCTGAAAATGAGATGCAGCTCATCCTCCACGGTGGAGCCGGGGAAGAGCGGCCGACCTGCAGCCATCTCGTAGAATATACAGCCCACGCCCCTGCAGAACAAACAGCCTCCATCAGCTGAGGCAACAACTTAACCTGGTAGCAGCAGGACTAGCAGGAAGGAAGAAACACCAGAGGGAAGCCATGTTTCTCTGTGGTTAAAGACTACATGTGTTATGGAGTGAATTTTGCTCCATTATTATTGCCAGCAAAGACTATAATATATGGATTGAAAAACAAAAAAAAAAATTCTATCAAAAGAATAAAGTTCTTCAAAAGAATATTTTTTACAAAAAATTCAGTTTTTTTTTTGTTTTGTTTTTCAGAATTTCTTTTGTCAAATTATCTAAATTACACTTTTTAAAAATAAATATTTTTAATAAAGATTTTCAAAATTATTTTATATTTGATATTTTCACTTACCGGTAATTTTATTTTTTCAAATTTAACTCGTTTACAGATGTTTTAATTTTTCTTTTCAAATTTCTGGTTTCCAGATTGAGTTTCACTTTTTGCATTCTTTACAAATTTCTTTTCACAGATCATATTCTCTGCCCTCCAAACCCAAACAAACGCTCACTCTGGACCAATTAAAATGTTGGCGCTAATTTTTATGCAGACCAATAGAAAGGCTTCTTTCCTTCCCGCCAAAAGAAAAGCCCGCCTCCAGAAGTGAAGAGGATCTGATCTTTAATATGCAATTTAAAAAGAATACAGGTTCTAAAACTCAATCTGAAAGAGTATAAAATGTTAGAAAAAATAACAATTTAAGGAACTAGGGCAGAAATTGTGTAAGATCAGACATGCATGTCCAGTTTTCGAGAAAAAAAAACAAAAAAAAACACAAATTTAACAAGTCTTGACTTATTGAATTTGTATATATATATATATATATATATATATATATATATTTTTTTTTTTTTTTAACCTGCTCTTTTCAACAATATTGGAAACAAATGCACTCCATACAGGTGTCACATGACCACGACAGTGAACCAGGGCTGAATATTTACCACATGTCGATCTGTGTGGAGTACTCCGAGGACCCCAGGAGGACGTCAGGAGGCCGGTACCAAAGAGTCACCACCTCGTTGGAGTACGTCTTGGTGGGGACCGACTTCGCCCTGGCAAGACCTGCAGACCCACATCGCACACATTTCTGGTTTATTTACCAGGATTTGTGAAACTCTGACATAATGATTCCAGATCCAGCTACAATCTGCAGCATCCAGTATTTTTTTTCGCCTTCTGGCCATAACTGCTTAATAATTAGTGGTCAGAAATAAGCAAACTTCCACACGGTGAGAGAGATGCTCAAAAAAAAAAAAAAAAAAAATAAGCAAACTTCCACACGGTGAGAGAGATGCTCAAAAAAAAAAAAAAAAAATCTTTATTATGGCCACACAAAGACGGAATGACTTTCATACGTTCTATTAGCAATTAGCAAAGCTAGCATCACTAAAACCAAAGTGTAGCGGAGCATTCCATGTGGAGCAGAAAGGTGACATTTCTAAAAGGCTGAAAACATCAAAGGTCCAGCCTGCTTTGAAAGAAAGGATAAAAAGCTTATTATTATAACCATTATTATAATAATGGTTAAGCCAGGGCTGCTTAGTGGGACAGTGGGTAGCACTGCTGCCTTACAGCAAGAAGGTTTAGGGTTTGATTCTCTGCCCGGGGTCTCTCTGCATGGAGTTTTAATATTCTCCCTGAGCATGCGTGGTTTCTCTCCAGGTAGTCTGGCACTAGCATCCCTTGTGACCCCCCAGCAGGGATAAAGCATGATGGAAAATGGATGGACATTTTTTTTTAGCCTTCCTGTTATCTGCTCTAAATATTACCCTCTCTCTCTGAGGAAAAGAATATTCATCTCTGGATAAAAAACAAAATTTTGTGTTTGATGTTATTTCTAAAACCATTACTGATAAAAAAAAAAAAAAAAATAAATAAATAAAAACTTTGAAACCTTCTTCACACAGTGACGGCTGCCACATTAAAAAGTGTGTTGCTGTAACCAGAGGAGCTGAGGTACGGTAAATTTCTGAGTTCCCGACCAGCTGCAGGTTAAACCACTTTCTACCATCTTAAGTAGAGAACAAGCAGAAACTCTTTGGGTTCTTCTTACCAAAATCAGCCAGTTTCAGTTCCCCCCTTTCATTGATTAAGAGGTTCTGCGGCTTCAGGTCTCTGTGGAGAACTTTCCTCTTGTGACAGTAGGACAGCCCTCGTAAAATCTGAAACAGGAAGATCTGGAAACACACAGTTGAGTTTGGTTAACTCCACAGAAAGTCGGAATGAGAAACTAAAGGTGATGAAGACGTAAAAACACATGAAGGAATCAATTACAAGGACAGAACAATCTCCTTAACGTACCGCAGAATAAAAGGAAGTGGAGGAAAAGGTCAGTCCTTACCTTCACGTTGTGCATGCTCATTATGTTTGCACAGTCGTCCATGTACTGCTTCAGATCTTTATCCTAAAGAAAGAGACGAAGCCATGAGGCAGGGAAACCAACTCTAAATCTGACCGCACATTTGTTTTAGCATCAGAAGCTTTCCTTTATTCAATTAATGAGATACTTCTATACATAAACAATAACATTTAAATTGATCATAACAACAATAAATATTCTAATCACCAACTAATTAGTAACATAAGAATAGGATGTTATTTTTTTTTTTTTTTTCACTGCAGCAGACATATGGGGCAATATTTCTAATATCCTCTAAAACACCATGAAGCTCACCAGGTACTCAAAGACCAGCGTGAGGCTTTTGTCGGTGTGGACGATGTCATGCAACGTCACGATGTTGGCGTGTTTCAAGTCTTTTAGAAGTGACACTAAAGAGACACAAAAGAGAACAAGTTAAGGATTAAATCTGATTGGGTTTAATGGGAACACTGGAAGTTTATACATCAACTGGATGTAAAATATTTCAAGTCCATTAGCTCATTAAGAAAAAAAAAAGATATTTAGTTCTAAGGAAGAAGTAGGAATATGAATCCAAGAGAACCCAGGAATGAATGAATGAATGAATGAATGAATGAATGAATGAATGAATGAATGAATGAATGAATGAAAGGAACTGGAACCAGGGGACAAAAAAGAAAGAAAAACAAAAGGAAAGAAAGAGAGAAGTAAAGACAAAGAGACAGAAATAAAAGAAAGGAAAGCAAAAGGAATAAAAAGTGAACGAAAATAAAAGGTTTCAAAGTTAAAGACAGAAAGAAAGGATGGAAGGAAGGAAGGAGACAAGCAGCAGGGAGAGGACACCAATAATGAAGGATTGATGTAGTTCAGACCATTAAACCGGGTCTGCAGGACAGTTTATGCTCCGTCACCTTCTCTGATGGCCGTACACGGCGCTCCCTCTTCGTGCTCCAGTCTGATCTCCTTCAGCGCCACCAGGTTGTCCGTCAGCTTGCTGCGCCCCTTGAACACGGTGGCGTACGTTCCCTAAAGGCGACATTGTGATCAGAACCTCAGAGGAATCACCTGCTAACCTACGGTTCCTCCAGCTTTTCTTACCTCGCCCAGTTTGTCCAGCTTAATGTACGTCTCCAACTTCCCAAAGCCGATCTCAGACTGAGGAGGAGAAGAAGAACCGGGTCAGACTGGGGCAGAACCTTCAGTTCCTGTTTGGTTTAGTCAGTTATCAGTGCTTTCATCCAAAACCAGAAACTGAACAATGAAACCTTCAAACAGCAGCAGTCTGGATTGATTATGATGCAGACTGAACTTCAGACATCAATAAATAAAGATGTTCTTATTGGGCTATTTTTAAATGAATTTAGCCAAAAATAGCCATAAAACCGTCCTTTAACTTCTGAGCAGTTCAAAGCTGCAGCAAAATGCAGTTGTCTAAATGGATTAAAACTAATCGAATCATTTATTTCATTATAAAAATCTTCAGTTTGGAGAGTCTGCTGAGTTTTATGATCCAATCTGGTGGGGATAAAAGTAGGAGGTGAGCGAATCCATCTCTCATCGGGCCAGTAGCCATGGCAACGGCACAGAGGGAGTCTGGTAATGAGACGACGAGCACTGCAGAAGCTAGAGAGGGACAAAAACACGACGGGAGGGGTTCTCAGACTGACCAGTGAGGCCCGGCGGGAGCGTCGGCTCAGCGGCTGGTCGAAGGGCGGGCTGCTGAGCTGCAGCTTCTCCAGGTAGCCGTCGGGGATCCGGATGTCAGCAGGCAGCGACAAGCGCTTGTTCAGATCCTGAAGCAGAACAGATTCCAACACTTAATGAAGAACCAAAACATTGTAGTCCGATTCTGTGGAGACGACATGGAGCAGCAGGCTGAGCAGAAGATTCTCCAACCTGCCGCACGATGTCGGCTTTAGAAAAGTATTCACACCCCTTATCCACTGGGTCACTCAAAGATTGTAAACTTCTATGACTCTGATAAACAAAGTAAGGACTGAATAGAAGGAAAAGATAAAACTAGGCTGGGACCAGTTCAGAACAGCTGCTGCTGAGGAAAAAGAAAAAACAAAACAAGCAAGCATTTCATCAGCATGATGCTGCCACCACCATGTCTCACTCTGTGGCTGCTGTTCTCAGGGTTAGCTTTGATGTTTGGCTTTTGATCAACTGCTAATATGAGATTTTTAGGTGGTTTCTTCCACAATTCTAAATAAAAACAAGTGCAGAACCTAAATAAGACAGCGCTCTTTCTTCAAAATGATTTTCATTCAGCTACATTTGAGGTAAATAATGCAAAATAAATGTTCATTGCTTGGCTGGTCATTTTATAACATTACATTTATTGGACTGAAAGCCCAGGTTTGACTAGGCCAATCTAAATGTTTGATTTTGCTGCACCTTTTAGTGAAAATTCAGGTTTGAATAAGCTAGATGTTAGTTTACACTAAATTGACATTTTTTCTTAATTACAGTAACTGAGGTCAGCAGCACTCTAGTAGTTTTTCTTGGATTGTTTTCTGGAGCTCCTGCTTGATTTAACACCCTAGAGTTCCTCTGCTGCTCTGCATCCAGCATTAAACACAGATGAGAATAGGTCAGCGCATCATTAAGAAGGAGAGGAGATATTTTCACCAAAGATGCCATGTTTGGATTTGTTCTATACTCTCCACAGCCAGCAGGGGGCAGCAGGCCTCCAGGGTGAGCTGCAGGTCCACATACAGCAGCATTTTGTTTGCAAAAGAAAGGAACACAGATCATCAAGGAAACTTCTAGATCTTTATGCTGTGATTCCTGAGCCAACCGATCATGTCAGACACTTCTAGCTGATTTGATGGATTTTCTGCAAATAATAACAAACTAAAATGACAAAAAAACAGTACTGATGAGGCCAGGAGGGGCTCAGGCTGATGGCTGTGAAGCAGAGGAACAGACCCGGCTTATTCCCAAGCCTCAGAGATGACAACAGGCCTGTGTTGGAGCATACGCTCGGTATAAAATCTTTATTCCAGCCTTTTCTCGTGCTGTGACAGCTGACATGACGGAAATCAGAGTCTTTTACCTCCATGGAGATGCGGCGGTGAACTCTGTTCCTCAGACAGACACCTGTAGGCGACTGGACCTCATCTGAAGATGTTCCTGAAGCCTGGTCGCTTTCCCCATCAGAACCCATCTTCAGGTTCTCATGAACAATGTCTGAAATCAGAAGAAGAGTCACAGCTCGAATAAACTGAGAAATAACTGAGGAGGTCTTAGTATAACTTTAAGATGGAGGCGGGTTCTAATACAGCTTCGTTTGCTTTAAATTCGGTGGATTTAAACCTTTGAATCGTTGCTGCGTCTGTAGATCTGAGCATCTTTGAGAATGTTAAAAACCAACAAATGTTTGGGTTTTTTTTAATCAGGAAATTGGCTACTTTTAAGATCATCTCTCCAGTTGACATCAGTGTCACATTTAGATGATCAATGAAAGAAGCTTGTTTAAATGTAAACACTTTCGTCAGCTTTCTGTTCTGGTTAAAAGCAGACTTTACAGCGGTTTTCTCGCCTCAAACATTTAAATCACTTAACATGTCGCTGCTTTACATGTAAACTTCCTCCACAGAGTATGAATGAAAGTTTCCCTTCAGCTCCTGTAGGAACCAAAGACCGCAGCCTGAACCGTTTCCTCCCAGGCAATAAAAGATCCCACCACTACTGAAGCCCAGCTGCAGGAGATGTGTGTAAATCCCCTCCTCTCCTCCACTCACACACACATATATATAGAGTTAATGAGTAGCTATGGCTGCATGGATCTCTGTGATCAGCGCCTCAGACCAGGCAGCCTGTCGTTAAACAAGCCTGCAGAGATAAACTGCTGCTTTATTCTAGATCACATTTGGACGTGTTGAAACTCTAACATTTCTACTTTTGCTACTTCAACCCACTATTTTAGCTGAATAAAATAACATAAAAATCTGGAGAGGAAAGGACAGACTGAGGAGAAGAGGAAGAATTTCTATGAGGGGTTTTGTTCGTGCAGCGGAGCAAAGGTGTGGGAGGAGGAAAGGAGCCAAATATGGGAATTTCCTGCAAGGTTTGCTAACGGGGGAGGAAAAGAAAGGCTTTTGTTGCTCTTTTTTTATGGCCATTTGATCAAAGGTAAAGGTTATAAGCTTTAACAAAAGACTGAGAAACACTCAGGATCTACGGCTTTATATTACGAGGTACTGCAGAGCGCCACCTACTGTTCCGGATTATCTTTAGATCAACATCTGAACCCTAAAGGGCTGGTTATCCTCCCGCAGCAGTGTGTTGCAGTGAGCTTGTCACAGATATTTTGATCTATGCCCAATATTGAAGCGTCGTATGCGCTTTGTTTTTCCACGCCACAACACAAGAGGGACAATCACGACCTAGCTGTGATGGTCGAGGCGGTGAGGAAGTGGGGGCAAGTTTGTGCGAGATGAGGGTGAAAAAGAGCGGGGATCCAGGTGGAAAAAGGGTCCCAGCGTTCTCGTGCACCTCGCTGTTCTAGCTGGTCCAACTTCACGAGTTGTTTTCCACAATGGCCGTCATACAAACAAAATAAGCCGGTAAGGTACCAAACAGGAAAAACGCATAGTGTATGATTTGACCAATCAGAGGCCTCCTGTCTGCGGTCACCTACAATTTTGGAGACTCACAGCAGAGGTGCAGCAGACTGTCTGTGGAAGGGGCAGGGGCACATTTGCATTCACTGCGAAACACGCAAACAACCTGGTTTCTGGTTATAAACCCGCCTTAAGCCTACTTCATGCAGTCAGACAGGTTCTGTTCAAGTTGACTGAAAGCAGCTCTCCAAAACATGGAACGATCTATTAACAGTTCTGGATTAATATGCAGTGAAAACATTTGATGGAAATTTGAAAAAGGCACATTTCGAAAAGCCTTTTAATAAAAAAAAGATTTTGAATAATTTAGCATTTTTTAAAACTAATTTTTTATATTTTATTTTGATCATATATATATAAATGATGTTGTCATATTTAAATATTTTTAATTTTAAATTTCATTCTTTTCATGTTTCACTGATCAAATTTTCTTGACCAAAAAAAAAAAAAATTTCTTTTAAATTTCTTTTGTTTTACTAAACACTACACTACTAATTACATTTTCAAGGTCACATTCTCTCACTCCTGACCAGTTAAAATATTGTCGCTAACGTCCAGCAGACCAATAAATGACTTCATTCCTCACTTCAGAGGAAAGCCCTGAAGAGAAGAGAACGATACCAATAAAATTATATTTGTCAAATCGAAATTTGAAAAAGACAAAAAAATAAAAATAAATTTCAAGTAAAAAAAAGTTTTAATTGCAACATAAATTAAATGACTTTCACTCCATAGGTTAATCTGGTTGGTTTGGATAGTTTTATTTAGTTCATAATTAAATCATTGTTTAAAAACTGCTTTTTATTGAAATCAGGTCATTTCTGTTTTATTTTCAGGCTTCTTGCTTTAAACAGAGGAGCTTTCCCTCTTTAACCAATCAGAGGCTCCTTTGTCTGTCTTTATAACCCAGCTGTTAGATCCTAACAAAAAAAATCAGCAAATGTTTTAGATTAACAGGATTTTTCAAGAAAAAAAAACAGGTTTTCTATTCATTCCAACCCTGAATCTAACACCTTTTGTATTTTTCTAACACATACCTGTAAAAAGGGAAGATCTACCATCTTGTTCTAACATATAAACCTCTCTGGATCTTTCTCCCTTCATGCCTCTTATGTTTTTCTCCCTTTGATTTAGTCCTCTTCCTCCTGAGGTTTTTCTAGGCAGCGGCTCGTACCGGCTGCATTCCTTCTCTACCAGCTCCTCTCCAGATCTTTTCCCAGATCTAATCTGCCCTACTCTCTTCAAACTTCATCTATTTTCACATACCTCTGTCATCTCTCACCATGCTCTACCTTTCCTCCCACAATTCCTACTTTTCGACAATCTGCTTTCATTCCTTGGCTCTGATCAGCAGCAGCAGCATCCTAGTCTTCCTCCCACTCCATTTCTGTTAAATTCTTTTAACAATCTTTTACTTTGCAGCCATTTTTACTCCAGTTCATCCTGAATATTCCCATATATCCTCTCTTTCCTGTCCTCATCTCTCTCCCTTCCCCTTTCTCTGCACCTCTTCATTAGCATCTTTGATAATGAACACACACACTGCAGCAGCTTGAAGTGAAGCCTCCATGTCCTATTTAACTGTCCCGTTTTTAGATCCAAGTCCTTCTAACTGGGACAGGGTCCAGTTTGGGGCTCAATGGGTCCTTTTAGTATCTTCCTGTCCAGAAAAAAAAAGATCAGAGAAGTAGACCATCTGTGGAACAGAAAGTTTCTGCTACTAAAGGACGATGCTGTCGAAGCATTTAGGAAGGAAGCTGGTTTAAAGCTTGATGTTGGATTTATGGAAACAGGAGAAACATGAGGAGGTCTAACAGGTTTATGACCTATAGCTGGTTTGGAACGCTGCATTTTTATATATTTTTTTTTGCATATGCAGAGATTTTAACAGCCGCCATCTTTTCAAGGACGGAAACACCTTTAGGTTAGCACTGCAAAAAAGTGAGTATGGAGGCAAGTGTTGCTTTTTAAGGCACTTCACAATAAGAACAACAAAAACTGTTTGTTTAATCCAATCAGTCTGAGGTCTCAAATGTACCTGCTTCAATTCCAACTAAGGCACATAAATCTATTTCATTCAAATTGGTTAATTGATTTTGCCATTATGCAGATTTAAGTTGATTTTTACGATTTTGTTGAGGTTGCTACAAAAGTACGCTACAAGTTTAAGAAAAAAGGGATAAAGAAGCTATTAAAGATAGCTAGAGAATACTGAAGACAATGTCTTATGTAAAAAAAAAAAAAAAAAAAAGAAGTAACTTGACGTTGGTTATAAAGCCAAATACTAACAAAGATTTCAAATCTATAGCAGATAACTCTATAAAAATATATTACTAGATCATGGATGGACCGAAGATTTCCACCATGGAATATGAAATAGTTTGGAAAAACATTTTCATTTAGTCCAGTATTTTATTATTTCTTTCATTCCTAAAGTTTTGCTAACCAAACTTTTTCAGACCTGAAAACTATTTCACACAATTTATATCCAAACTAAACCAAACCTGACAACCAGAAAACATATATCTACCCAAACTTTAAAATAAAGAAAACTGAATTTAGAAACCATGTTTTTAGCCATCTTAAGGTCAGCGATCGGCCTAATTTCACTGTTTGTGCTAAAATGCGCTGGACAGGGCCCTGGAGGATGAAACCCAGATGTTACTGAAAACACTAAAATGTTAGAATTTTTCACTGGATAAAACTGAAAAGCAGCTCTTGGTATTGAGTCAGTGGGATCATCTCAATGATTCCTGCGTTTTAGGCCTAAACAAATCTGCTCTCACCATTAACAGAACTAAAAACTAACAAGCAGTTTTTCTGACAGGTCTTTCTGTTTAGTTATTTTCATCTCATTGTGGGGAATGGAGATCCTAGATTTTTTTTGTCTCAGGAAATCTCATCTCCTTTCATTAATGGTTTCCAAACCATATTTAAGATCTTATTATTACTGGATACTTATTTTATAAAAACACTTTATTAACATCGATACTGACGATACGGGGTCCCTCCGTCAACACAAACTGCTGCTGCTTTGAATCTTCCTCAATGACAGCTCAGCTGAGATGAATCAGCACGCGCAAGAAACCGCGTCATGTTTGGCTAAATCCTGCATCCAGCTGCCTCGCGGGTGAAAAGGCAGCCCAGACGGAGGACGCACAGAGAAGCTGGCTCACGGGAACGCCGCCGAGTCATTCTGTCGGTGACTGTGAGAAAAGGACGGTGGAAATCTCAGCATCATGACACACTTCCTGTCTGCTGCCGGATGCCATCTGCTCTCCTTCCGCTCGTTTCCTTCCGCTGTTACCTTGTGTGTTTGGGTTTGTGAACGCTCACCGAGGCGGCTGCCGTTGCGTGGCATGGCCATGAAGGACCCGAGGCTTCCGCCGATGACGCTGTGCGGCCGGCGGAGGGGCGGCTTCTTGAAGGAGCCTGTGTACTGGTGCAGAAAGGAGTGCATGCTGTGGGAGGTGGGGGGGCGGCCATTCCTCATAAAGGGCTCTGCAACAGAGAAAAAAAAAACAGGAGAAAAAGACATCTTTAGGTGTAAAAAATGAAGCCATATCAGTTTCTAATCCTTCATCACATTAAAACATTAAACGCTGCATCAGATCCGGAGCTGCTGGGGTTAAGAAGCAAGTAAAGCAGCAAATCACCACCTCCTCCCGCAGCCCATGAGGGAGCTGTCTAAGCAATGAAAGAGGAAATTAAAAAGAAAATGCAACTGCAAAAAAGATTTGATAAGCATGATGGGGAAAAAAAGAAATGACCTTTTCTTAATATGATTAAGATATTTACAAACTAAGGTTTTTAAATCAAAATCTAGAAATACGATTTGAAGCATTTTAAAAATGTAGTATTTAAGAATTGATGGATAAATACAGTTTAAAATGCCTCTTAAAATGTGCCATTTCACAACTGTAAGATCTAATGGTTTTTATTGACTCTTCTGGTATTCCATAGCTTTAAAACCAATAGATAATAATGTGGAAAATGTTTAATCTGAATTTAACCAAGCAAGCAGCTTTATTGATTTATCATTTAAAAACAAACACAGTAAAATAAAATCCCAGTCATAAAATACACTTAACCGCTAATAAATAAGCTTTTTATTCAATTACAGTCGATAAAGAGCAAACTGCTTTTGTGTTTACAGACTGGAGTTAAGTGAAGCCTTTGGCAGGACTGGACTGAAAAGAAAATGGCCTTGGTAGTTTTATTTTATTAATGACGTCCCACCATCATTAGATATAGGATATGTGGAGACAGACGGTACCAGAGGATATATCTGCACACTGTTTCCTTTCAACTATCCTAACAAGGTGGAAACAATTAATAGTAAAAGTATTTGGGTAAAAAATAACCTTTAGTACCAAAATCTCTGATTTATTACAATAGTAATCAAATAGACAAAAGTATAAAGTTAAATGCAATAAATAACATTTATGCAGAAGAAACATTTTCAACACTTCAAATCTATTTTGCATAATGAACCCTATCAAACCAGTATGTACAGTTGTTTTTTTTTATATCTTTTACTGTATATTAACCTAAACAGCGCCGCAGAAAATACCCTTAAAACAACAAAGATTTTGTTAAACAGGAGGTTTATCTCCTACCTGATGGTTTCTATCTGATGCTTAAAACAGGTCAGCTCTGTTCAGTGAGGTTATTCATGGTGGGCAGAGGAGCCTCTTTACAGCAGTATAGCTCAAGGACTATTTTGTTTATATGGGCCTACTTCCTCCGCAGGGTGGCTGGGCTCTCCCTTAGAGATAGGGTGAGAAGCTCGGAAGGACTCGGAGTAGAGCCGCTGCTCCTCCATGTCGAGAGGAGCCAGTTGAGGTGGCTCGGGCATCTGGTTAGGATGCCTCCTGGACGCCTCCCTGGTGAGGTGTTCCTGGCACGTCCCACCGGGGGGAGGCCCCGGGGAAGACCCAGGACATGCTGGAGGGACTATGTTTCTCGGCTGGCCTGGGAACGCCTTGGGATTCCTCCTGAGGGGCTAGAAGAAGTGGCTGGGGAGAGGGAAGTCTGGGCCTCCCTTCTTAACCTGCTGCCCCCGCGACTCGACCCCGGATAAGCGGAGGAAGATGGATGGATGGATGGATGGGCCTACTTGTGTCCATAAATAAAAATACTCCTAAATAGTTAGTAAATGTAACTACATCATATACTAAAATGATTAATGTAAGCATAATTTGGGTGCAAAGCCTGAGGTTAATTAATATTCCTTATTCTTTATCTGTGTTTTCTTCCCAGGCTGTCAGGAGCTTCTCTGACCTCATCCTCAGTCTGTTCCTGCTGGGTCACGCCTCTCTCCTTCCTCATCTACATTTCAACTCCTTCCTGTTGCTCACACTTGTGGCGTAAAACAAAAATGTTTTGGTGCATTTGATTGCATCTTATTAGAGTTGTGTTTTTGTGGTTTAATATCGGTTTACACAGATTGAAACGCAGTGGCTTCTTCTACTCCATTAACCTGTGTTGATCCACTCATTGAGAGGGGCCAGCCACGAGGATTAAAAGATTTTTAAAAAAGCATTGTAAAATGGTGTTTCACATCTCATATATGGCAAAAAATATATATATGCATTTTATTTGTTACATTGCATTAGTTAACAGGGTTTATACAGGAATGAGTATCTCTAATTTAATGCTTTTTAATGCTCTTATAAATAATTTTAGTACCCATGACTCTCATATAAATAACACGGCAAAATCTTTCCTAATCTTTCCCGTCGACAGGCTGCAGCCATGTCCTGAATTCCTCGTTCTCCAGCCACTTTTGTTGAAGTTTGCATTTTCACATTCTCTAGCTTTTTCTCCGCCTCGGGCTTCTTTTCCGAATATACAGCTTTACGATCAACCGGAAGCAGTTCAGCGCAAACCGACGGACTCAGTTATATCTGACGAAATTGTTTTTATGAACTTTTTTTTTTTTTTTTTTTAGTAAAGCATTTTAAATGCCTCTATAAATAACATTTAATCTTATTGCCAATTAAGGCCTTAATTTGAAAAATAACAATTTAATGACGTTTAATGACAAAAAAAAGGCACCCAATTAAAGTAGCTCTTAATCATACGTTACGCTAATCTAACGTCAAGTTAAGCTGCAATTCATATCAAAACATTCATAGACTGTAAAGTTAAAGTTAAACAATTTAAAAAAAGAAAAATCTGTTTATAGAAGGAGATTGACACACTGCTACTCTAAAAAAGCAGGTTAGTGATATAAGTTTATAGGTTTAAGCTACCAGAAAATAAAGATGGCGTGGGTGCAGAAGCTGGTCCTGCCGTTTGAATCCTTGCTCAGAAAAATAGGCTAGCCAATTTAGCTAATCCGGAGTTAAACCAGTGAAACTATTGATAAATATTTTTTTCTTAAAGACCAGAACAGATACTAGTAAACATACTTGAATGTAAAATAAAAACAAAAATATTTTCTATATCTTAGCAGAAATATTCTGTGCTTATTTTCCTCATCATCAGTCCAAATTAAATCCAGGTTCCCTGATAATCCTAATTTATGACAAACCACAATTGTTAGATTTAAAACCAAAACAAAGATGCGTTCAACTGGATCATAACATCAGTATCTTTATTGCTACGTTAGAATTAGGTTTTTTTGTAGACAGCTACAAGTTGAAACTCGTACAAGATGGTTGAAATGTCTAAAACATTTCAAACTTTAGTTAGCATATATGAAAAATAAGCTATTTTAACCTGCTGGACTAAAATCAGTGCAACAGTACTGATGCTTAAACTCATACACTCTGTTTTATTTTGATCTAAAAGTAGGTTTAACGGCTGTGAATTATCCGTCTGCTCCAATAAACCATGTGGATCATAAAAAAAATAAAAAGAAGTCTTTCATGCCCCTACATGTTCCTATGCTGCCTTCAGGGCCATGAAAGCAGAGCAGAGGAATGAGCAGAACTTGTTCTTAATCTGAACAAATTTTTCATGGAATGTGGGGGATTTTTTTAATGAATATTTCAGCTAGATTTTCATAAAAAAATATCTTTATTTTTTAATCATGAATTCATATAAGCTGAGTCAAGGCATCCATAACGTTTCTACATTTTTTAAAGTGCCTTTGAGACGCTTAAATCAGTGCTGTCTGAGTCACAGCAAACATGGAGCTTCTGCTCTTGGCTTAAATCAAGTTATTTACCGTTTTCACTGACGCAGCTCAAAGACATGTTGATTTCCACCGTTTGACCCCCACACCTGCTAAGTGGCTCTAATTCATGTAGATTCAGCCGCTGGAGCTCGGCTCCCAACTCTGTTATTAGTGAGTCACTCCGCTGTGAAAACGCTGAGGAAGATAGATGAGGGTCCATTTATCGTGAAAGCTGTCGGACAAAAGCGCCAGCAGACGACTTAAGCGTCAGTGGATCTGCACAGCTCCACGGCTGTACCAAAGCAAGACGTTATATAACAGCAGAGACTGAATAAGTCTGAACAGTTGGTTCCTGTTTCCTACAGATTTGCTTCTTTTTTTTTGTTTGTGAGTGGGCAGAAATTACTAATGTCTTCAGTCTTTTATTCTGTCACTTTACCTGAGGTAGAGAGCAAAGAAGTAAAATAATAAAACATATTTTTGTGAGGAAGAGGTCAGGGTTTGGATCAGGTTACAGTTCAGGTAAATCGGGGACAAACTAATGGAAGTCAGCATCCCCTGAGATGCAAGACGGTGTGTTGAAGAAGCACTGTAGCTCTGTTCTGTTACATAACTTGATTCAGGGGAAGCAGCTGCAGCTCACTCTCTTACAAAGCTATCCTTCTTAATTCATTACCATCACTGCTTCATACTCACAACCCCCCCAGAGTGCCATCAAGTCAGCTGAGTGGAGAGTTTTTAAAGGTCTGCTGCTGACAGACGCAGAGGGAGGGAAACACTTTCCTGAAGACATTTAAAATCTGCTGTTCATGTAAAGTTTTACTTATTTATTCCAGCGATTTTTACAGGTTTAAACATTTGAGGATGTGAGCAACAGTGTGATTGGACATCTATGGAGATCTAATAGGGTTTTATTTCCCCAGCATGCGATCTGCTGATGACTGAACAGAACAAAATTGGGGGGAAAAAAGTGAGATTCCAAAATTTGTTACAATCTTTTATATGTAGTGAATTTTTGTTTAATTTGAATGAAAAATCTGAAAAACAACCAGCTAAAGAACAGAACCATCCACCAACCAATATAGGTTCTGTACTTAACATACATAAAATACATCAGTAACCATCGGGGTCACGACTTTTAATAATTAAGAAAGATTTGTTATTTGAGTTTGACAAGAAAGAAACAAAAAAGATCTAATTGTAATGAGGCAAAAATAAATGTTATAGATATTCTGGTCTGTTCTTGTTAAAGCAGGGCAGGGGAAGGCTACAGCTGACAGAGGCTAGTTAGGCTAACTGTGGAGATCGGATAAGTCCACCAGTTGGTGTCTCTGCTGGAGGTAGGACCACGAAACGGTTTTTCCAGGGCTAAAAAAAATTGCTCTTAAAGTTTCCTTTTAAAAGCAACTTATAAACCTCTTAAGAGCATCCCACACCTCATCCTTAGCTAACAATACAATATAAACGTACAGTAAATGAAACAGCAGTTGAAGAATTCATTGATTTGATGCTGTGATCGGCAGATACTGATTTTTGTGATTGTTGTTCCTGACCGGTGTATCCCTATTAGATTCTTCTCAAATTTCCATTTACAACACAAAAGCACTCAATCCCTTTTTGGCTGTAGTCGTTTTTCTAAACACTGGTTTATACTGATGATTTCTGTTTATTTGAGCAAAAATCATAACTACACTGGAAAGAATCGAAATCTACATTTTTTTCCCTAACATAAGTGCATTTTTTTTATTGAGGAGATAAGTGAGACACTTTGCAAATGGAGCAAGACAATTTACATTAAAAAATAAGAATACAACTATTTCATTGTCTTTTTTCAAGTGTTTATTGTCTAATCACCTTATTTTAAGAGAAAAAAAATCCTCATTCCATTGGCAAATCATCTTATTTACCTACTCAAATTGAGGGTAAATAGTTAATTTAAGACATTTTGATCGATTTCTAGATCGTTTTTGCAGTGTATGAATATGCACTAAAAAGGGACTGAAGGAAGAGAAACTTTAGCAAAGCATCTGTGATTTAAAAACAGCTTCCATTAAAGAGAACTATGCTAAAGATTAGCCAACAAACCACCAAGCACACCTCTCAGGAATATGAATATTTTTGGACGGTCATCTAGATAATAGAGGCCAATCCCTCATAAACTTCCAACTGGTAAAAGATGTTAATAAAATGCCTATAAAGTGTTCCTTATGCAAACCCAAGCAGAGATTTTAGTGATGGATGATAGTTCAGTTAAACCCCTCCTACCATTATCCTTGGTCCCTCCGTCCTCCATGGTCATCTGCTCAGCCAGTTCTGAGAGAGATTCGTCGATGGTCAGACTGGGCCGGAGGGTCAACGACAGGCGCTTCTTTATCCTCTTCATCTTCTCCATAGCAAAGCAGTTCACAGTCTGCGGGACACACAGAAAAACACCGTCAGCTTTCCTGGTTCTCTTAAACCAGAGAAGAAGTTCAACATTTGCAGACATCTACCATCGGAGTCCAAAATATCTCCGCTCATGAATAACATAGCGCTGCTTTTAATACAGTATTCATTCACTTTGCAGATGCCTGAACAGAGCATGAATTAAGCATGAGCACAGCATGAATAAGTGATGTGTATCGCAGTCGGCAACATAGCCGTTTTTCACCTACACACACGTCCTCATGGGAAGGGAGGGAGAAATTAACCAGATCTGATCGGGGAGGGAGGGAGTAACAACAAATCAGTGTGTGTGTGTAGCAGCAGCCGTCCGGGTCACAGGAAGCACCTTGTTCAACTGCTTGAAGCCAGTCCCTGCTCATTGTGTCGACCCAAGTTTTAGCAAGTGTGTGTTGTTGAACGGGTATGCCTTGCATGTTTGTTGAAGGAAAGAGAAAGCAAGCATAGAAAAAGGGGGAAAAACACCCCTTCCCACCCGCCTGATCCCGATAGAAAACTGGCCGCCCCCTCTATGTGGCTCTGTCTATCTCTGTTAGGTTCTCTCAGTTATTGGCTCTTTTAGTGCAAAAACAGACACAATCTGTGTGTCAAAACACATACACACACATCCCTGCAACAATTTGTCATTCATGGCAGAACATAGAAAAAAACCTCTCCATGAATCAGTGTCACAAGCTCGCATCAACACAGCAGCTGTGTGTTAGCTGGATTCTGTGTTGAGGGAAAGACAAAAAAATATTTTTATATCTAACCTCCTGATATTTAAGGTATATACTGGGATATTTGAAGCCACCATCAGCTCAAAAGCTTAAGTAAAAAAAAAAAAAAAAAAATTTGCTTTATTTAGAATACATGGCTTTGTTTGGGGATAGGGGACTTTGTGACAAACATCAGTTTTTGTTTATTTTTTGCTTCCCCAAATTGAATAAACATCATAAAGTTTAAATTTGGGGTTTCCTCAATTGAAGCAACTTAGTTCATTTTAATGTTTTAGGACAGCCAATGAGTGTGCAAATGCCTCCAGATGATGTAATCTAAAAGACGCAGAAAAGGATGTTGAAACCATGAGTTGCTCCGAAATAAGCCTTGGAGTTTCCTTAAAAGATTAATAGTGTAGAATTTGTTTTCACAACAATTCATTTTGCAACTAGATGATCAAAATAGCCAATTACTAACTAGCCTATTGAAGGAAGTTTTTTCCTTTCAATATTTAGTCTAGATCCTTTTCCTTGTCAAAAGCAAGTTTGCAGAAACCTTCCCGAGAGGAAATGTATCCCGCTGTCCCTGCTGGTTCCATCGGCGCCTGCATCCCATGATGCCACATGCTAAAAGTGACAAAAATCATTCCAATGCAGGAAAAGAGCAGCTGTTCAACAAGGCTGAAAGTGCAGCTTGTGGAATGACTGCCTCCAAAAAAACCCGTACAATCAAATTCTTTCCCCCCTCGAGCAAACAGACAATGAGATAAGCGCTCTTTGTCCCCCAAACCCAGAAGTGTAACAGAGCCGGGTTTTATCTCTGCATCAAACCAAAACAAAAGAACTCATGTGATGTGTGTGTGTGTGTCCAAACTGGAGAGAAGATTTCAGCATAAAAAAGGACCAGAATCAATTTGCCACCCCCCCCCGTTCAACACAGACACGTTTTTTTCTCCTCTTTTCATTAAGAGCAACATCTCAAGATATTAAGATACGTTCTGACCCACATTCCCAGCATCCCCCGCTCCTCTGGATGCCTCCTAATGCACCCTGGGTAGTCTGGAGGAAAGGACTTCAAAAGGATGAGAAGGTGGGAGCGGGGGTTGCCGGGGACGAGACCTAATTACTGGGTTAATTATGACCCACTCTGCACACCATGCCTTTATCTCAGCCCCCCCTTTAGTTTCGTAACTCTTTAAACCAGAGTGAGGTAATGAGATGGAAAATGTGGCTTCACGTTCGATCCTGTAGATGTGGCTGAAAGTGACTGTGTGTGGGAGGAGGAAGAGTGAGAAGAGATGGGCGAGGAAGAACATAGAGAGAAAAGGAGGTGAGGAAATGAGTTTATTTCAGCAAGTGGAGCCATAATGGAGTCTTTGTGTTTGTATAAGAGCCATGAAATCACCAGAGTGAGGGCCGGCATGTACAGCATCCACTCAGTCTAATGGCTTCACTCACTAACATTTAGATTTATGGTCAAGTTTGGAAATTTGGTAATAAAAAAAAAAAAAAAAAAAAAAAAAAAAAAAAAAAAAAAAAAAAAAAAAAAAAATGTTTTAAAGACAACTTCTAAATCTCTACCTGATCTAATATGGAGTGAATTTTGTGTCGTTGTTTCAAAGGGCATGTTCAATCCAGCAATACAG